TTTCCTGTGGGGGGGAACAGAGGTGATACATGCATTGTGTGTATGTGCATGTGTGTACATGTATATGCATGCATGTGGTAATGCGTGGGTGGGTGAGCGTATTTGTATGCAGAAAAAGATGTATGTGTTATGTGTATCACACACATGGTTTCATGCATATGCATGGCTCGTTTATGTGTATAATGTCTGTATGTGTGCATATATACTTGTTTATGTATGTATATATGTATACTGTGTGTAAGTATACAAATATATATAGAGAGAGAGAGTTGTGTACATGTGCATCATGTACATACTATGTGGGCATATGTATATGTGTATATGTATACTGCCTGTGTGAATGAGTAGATTATATATGTGTACAATTATGTCTCCATGTATATGTTGTGTGTATTAATATATGTGCATGAGTGCATACATACATGCACACAGAGATGCAGGTGTAAAAATTATAAAAGTGCATATATGCCAACACACATAAACCCATCACTAAAACCATGACACACACATTGACGCTTACTACTAAACATACAACATTTGAATAGACATAGACATTTACCCATACATGCAATATAAATATAAACACATACATTGATGTATGCATAGACATGCATGTAGTATACAGAAACATGCACACATGAAACACAGTATAGATATGCACACATCACACAAAACTTTCTTTCTTTCCCAGAATAGGCTTACATTAGAGATTACACCTAGAGCCTTGGAAGTTGGAATCTAGCTTTCTTTCTCTTTCTATTTAAGTGAAGTAAAATTTATATTTATATTTGAAAGAAGTCCATCCACAAACTTAATTCTATAATTGCACACTATCTGGCCCAGATTCATACACATAAGCATCAAAGCAGCTCTGAGACTGATTTTCAAGGCACCACTGCCAGAGTCTTCTGGAGAAAATGACCAGTGCCACAGAGTTCAAAGTGAGGACCCTGGCACAAAAAAAAAAAAAGGACAAACTCTAGCTTTAAAGCCCATTGACAGCCATTGGCTCTTGGGGTGGAGGTGCTGGATGCATGACTGTTCTTGGAGGGATGATAAATTTCTCAATGCAACCATCAAACGGACAGGTGATTTGGCTCCATCAGATATGCTAGGATGATTGGTGCGCACTCATCATTGGAGTCGAGATTTGATCTACCAACCCAGCAGTGTAATCAGGCCATTAGCCACCCCGAGTTCCACTACTTGATGAGAAACTTAGTGTGTGTGGAGGGGGGGGGCTGTCTGTATTACTGTTGTTGTTATTATTCTCGCGAGGGGTACCTGTAGCTAATGAATTATAAGCTATTTCTCATGTGGTTCATTGCAGTTCGCCACTTTGCTCCCCTTGTCAAAAACACAATATCCTTTTCAGCCCCCCAAAAAATATAGCACTGCATTATGATAATGACACCAGCATTTCATCCATCAGTGGGAATGGGATGATTACTTAACACGTTTCTGAGGACTTCCTGACAAACTTGAAAAGTTGCCCTTCTGGAAAGGAAGTACTTAAATCTTTGGATTATCCTCCAGGTTTGAGAAAAGCCTGGCAGCCATACCTCTGGAAACTGAGAAAACCTTTCTCAAGAGTGGGTTAGGACTGCCTCACACCCCAGATAGGCCAGGAGAAGGATAATCAAAATCAGCTGGGAGGAAGTTTAAGCTCCAGGCAATGGCTGGTAAAAATCCCAGTGACTGGCTTCGAAGGTCCATCTGTCTCAAATTGTCTAGCTCAGAGAGCTGGCATACAGAGATAATGAATCCAAGGTTACAGGATCAAGTTCATGTACAGCTGAGCCAGCTAGCTTAGAGAAGGTGTTGGGGAGTGCTGAGGCCATGACAGCTGGATCTCCTCCAGCCTTATTGGCTCTGTGTGCATGCAGCCTGGGTTGCCAAGAAGAAAGCTGGCAGAAGTGGGTGGATTGTAGTTTCACTCCGTTTAAAGAGCTTTGGTTCAGCTACTATCTGAAAATAGTATGCCTCTCAGCTGAGAAGAGCTAGCAGAGAGAGTGAGGTCTGGTCTCTGCCCTCAAGAAGCTCCCGGGCTAGTGGATGAATCCTAGGGAAACAGACCTGAGCTTTTAACTCCTCTGAGTGCTGGAGAGAAAAAGGAAGGAACGTAACTCCATGGAAACAGGAGGAAGAAACAGTGGCTTAGAGGTTGGGAAGGGCGTGTGAAAGTGCAAGGATCACATAACATTTTAACAGGGCTTTCGGGAATAATTACTATTTCATCAAAGATAAATAAGTAGGTAAGACTATATAATACACACTCAGGAGCCTCCTTCAGGGGCTAGAGGATTCTGTTCTTCCCCCAAAGTCAGTCTTCCCTATCAAGACTTTTCAACCTCAACATCATGGGCTAGCGATAGTAGAACTCTCATTTGCATCCCCTTACGTACATACTTTGAGCCAAAATATGTACTGTGGTCAGGGTTTGAGTCTTAAGCATCCTTCCCACAGGGTCTTGTATTTGAACTTCTGGTCTTGTCTCCAGCCAGAGGTGCTGTTTTAGAAGATTTTAGGGTCTGGCCAGCAGAGGTGGTCACTGGGGATTGGTCTTAAAGAGTTAGGAACAGGCACTGCTTGGGATACAGATCCCAAGCTCTCTGCTTCCCAGTCAGTCAAGATGTGAGGAGATGCATTCTCACTGTCCAACCTCGCCAGCACGCGTTCTCTGCTGTGATGGTGTGTACCCCTGAACTGTGAGCCCAGTGAATCCTTCCTCTCTTCCATTGCTTCTGTCTGGCCAATTAAAAAAGTAACTAATGACACCTTATTTAAACCAATCAGCAGACTGGATTTGGTCCATGCATTATGGTTTGGTGAGAGTTGATTTGCATAAGGAATTGAAGAACAAACTGTCTATTGTTAATGCAAGGTACAGGGATAGGGCAGAAGGGCTGTCATCCAGGAAGGGATCGGTGGCCAGAAAGAACTGTTTTTAAGATAGTTGCTAAGGGGAGCCACTAGAGCTTAGCCCCATGGGAAAACTGGAGGAAAATTAAAAGTCAATCTCAGGATTACCCCAACCCCCAGGCAGAAGGTAGGTGAAGTACGTACACCCCTTCACACATTCTTCATATTTCAGGAGGCTATTCCTGGAAATTCTAACCCATCTCAATCTTAAAAAGATTAGTGTGCTTCATTTTCACCGAGGATGGCAGTGCTGGCCCCAGGAATCAGTATTGAAACAGCACGAAGATCCCCATTGGATCTGGGGAAAGTATAATACTGTCTGAAGTCTGGTCTGTCCTTTGCACTAGATCTGCATTCAATTGACCCAATCTTTAAACTGACTGAAAACTAAAGTATCTTAAGAAAGAGTGAGTCTCTTGGGCATATACCCAAAAGATGTTCAATCATACTCCAAGGACACTTATTCAACTATGTTCATTGCAGCATTATTTGTAATACACAGAACCTGAAAACAACCTAGATGCCCCTCAACTGAAGAATGGATAAAGAAAATGTGGCACATTTACACATTAGAGTACTGCTCCATGGGGAAAAAAATATGGCATCTTAAAATTTGCATGCAAATGGATTGAACTAGTATAAATCATCCTGAGTGAGGTAACCCAGACCCAGAAAGATGAACATGGTATGTACTCACTCATAAGTGGATATTAGCTGTAAAGCAAAGGATAATAAACCTATAGTCCATGACACAAGAGAGGCTAAGTAACTTAAGTAACAAGGTGAACCCTAAGAAAAGCATATATAGATCTACTTGGAAAGAGGACACAGACAAGATCACCTGACAAAATCGGGAACATGGGGTAGGGGGAGTAGGGAGGGCAGAAGGGGAAGATGAAGGGAGAAGGGTGGGGCGAAGGAGAACTTGAGGGAAAGAGATAGTCGAGATGGAGGAAGGACAGAGATGAGGTCAAGGAAAGATATTTTGATTGAGGGAGCCATTATGGAGCTAGCAAGAAACCTGGTACTAGAGAAATTCCCAGGAATCCACAACAATGACCCCAGCTAAGATCCTAATAGAGGAGAGAGTTCCCGAATTGGCCTTACCCTATAGTCAGACTGATGAATATCTTAAATGTCACCATAGAACCTTTATCCAGCTACTGATAGAAGCAGAGGTAGAGACCTGCATCAGAGCACTGGACTGAGCTCCCAACATCCAGTCAAAGAGTGGGAAGAGTGAGAATATGAGCAAAGAGGCCAAAACCATGATGGGGACACCCACGGAAACAGTTTACCTAAGCTAATAGGAGCTCACCAACTCCAGTCAGACAGGAAAGGAATCAGCATAGGTCCAAATTAGTCTCTCTGAATGTGAGTGACAGTTGCATGGCTGGGGCAGACTGCAGGGCCACAGGCAATGGCACCAGAATTTATCCCTACTGCATGTACTGACTTTTTTGGGAACCTATTCTTTTTGGATGGATACCTTGCTCAGCCTAGATATGGTAGGGAGGGCCTTGGACCTTCCCCAAAGAAATGTGCCTCACTTTCTCTGAGGAGTGGGAGGGGGTGGAGGGCCTTCCCCAAAGCAATGTGCCTCACTTTCTCTGATGAGTGGGTGGGGGTGGAGGGCCTTCCCCAAAGCAATGTGCCTCACTTTCTCTGAGGAGTGGGAGGGGGTGGAGGGTAGGTGGAGGAAATTGGAGGAGGGGAAGGAGTGGGAGCTAGGATTGATATTTAAAATGAAAAAAAGATAGTTTGTTTTCTTTTTAAAAAGTAAAAAAAAAAAAAAAGAAAGAGTAAGTCTATGAAGTTAGCTGAATGCAAGCCCACGGTTGCTATCATCGTGACTCTGCCTATGACTCCCTTGTGCTCAGCCAAGGCTTTTGCCGAGCTGGGTCAGGATAACCTAACTCAAGTATTTCCATAACTATGTGTTTGTATTCATCTGTTGACAGCACCTTTTCTAAAATAATATAGTGGTATTGACTCGGACTGTCTTAGCACACAGTAGGTCCTCAATAGGGCTACCTTCAAATCATTCTCACCTGTGAAATTCAGTAAAACATACTCACTTTACAGCAAAACAGAACTCCTGCCCTTTTATCATTTTCGGAGCTCTTCTTCTGCCTGATTCCACATGTTAACGTGTGCTTGCCAAACGCAGCCGTCGGCTCATCAGAAAGAGTTCATTAGTGCCGATTCTTCTGGCACACTCCTACCAGATAGCACAGTGTGCCGCTTGAATAGAGCTGCGGCGCTGCTGGCCGATGGAAACCAAAGCCACAGAGATGCATCTGAGTCCAGCAGCAATTTCATCCTCATCGCATGATCTGTTCTTCTCGCTGGCTGTCCCACAGAGCCTGACTCCCCGGGAGAGAACAATTCTTGCCCAGCCATCATTGATGTTCCAGAACCCTGGGGCTCTTCCAAACAGCATATTTTCAGGCTCATTTCATTTCCTGCCTTTGATTCAACCATCTGGAAAAGAAGTCAGGAGAATGACGCCCCATCTCTGGTCCCAGAGGCCTTGGAGAGGACACATCAGCCAAGTTCATGTCAATCTGTTTATGGATTGGCCGTGGAAGGAGGACCCCCGGGGTCCACTGGTGCTGACTGGGTCCATGTGCAGCTGCTGGTGGAATCAGCTTTTTCTGGCTCCCAACCCTGGATAAGAGGAAGAAGAACAGGACCAAAGTGAGCATACAGAAGGAGGAGGGATCTTCTGTCTGCCTCTCCTCCTCCCCGGCCCCAAAAGTGAGCTGTGGGAGAAACTCAGAGCCGGGAAATCAAGAAGCAGATCTGGGCCTTAGTCAGGAGGGAGCTAACAGTGCAGAGGTAGCCATCTAACAAGGCAGTCAGCATAGATTGGGGCAGCTCCGTGGAGCATAGGGCAGAGTCCTGCGCTGTTTCCTGGCTCTGCAGTTTACTAGGTTTGCAAATGGGAAGCTTGAAACATCTTGTGGTCTCAGTATCCTCATGTATGAAAAAGGACACACTCTGGCTGTTACCTCAAGACTCTCAGCAAAAGCTCAAAACAAGGATGACAGATGCTAACCTGCTTTGTTACTGTCGTTCACACTGATGAGTTCAGATAGGCCAACTTTAATCAAAGGAGACACCCGCAGAAGCCTTTGGTTGGATTCCTGGCTCCATTTCCAGGTTTCCAAAGTTTAACCCTATTATGATGAGAAGACTTCAACACGCTCAGCCTTAAATTTCCAAGTTGAAAAACTAAGCAATGAATTCCTCTTGTTGAGGGCTGCCATGGAATTTCAGTGGTCGTGATTAGGATTACTTGAGAAAAGAGAAATTTCTGTTTATCTCCGACCCAAAAAAAAATATTGTCAGGAAAGAATAAGTAAAACAAACGTGAAAAGATATTTTTGAATGAATAAATGAATGGGCCACTTAAAACATAATAACGCAATCAAGAATTAACAGAAATAGTGGCACTAGCCAGCATGATAAAGATTAATTTAGGCAGCATTCTAAGCATGTCACGGGCACTGTCAACCAATCCTTTCATCTCCTAGGCACTTACAGTGTGGCTCTGGTCTTTCAGCGGGGCCCAGCAAGTCCTAAAGAGGTTATATTTAATGACTTTTGTGTCCCAAGTCACAAAAGTCATCAACAGAAAGGACTATTCAAAACTTCATCTCTGGACTTTAATGACAATGGGCTCTTAGACTGACACATGCGAACGCATACAGGCCCCTGTGCTCCTGCAGTAGGAAGTAAAGCTTCACTCTCCTGTCTGGTAACATTGGATGATACCTAGAAAGCATCTAAAAGCATTTCTTGTCCCCTGGCCTTGTGTCATCCCAATTCTACCAATGAAAAAGCTGAGGGCTGGTAAAATGAAATACCTTATTTCAATGCAAAAACTAAATAACAGCATCAGAATTTGAACTTAGGAAGACTAGCACCTTCCAAAACACTCAAAGACTCACAAAAGCAGAGACACAGACACGTGGCATCTCATGGTGAGCACGCTTCCCCCTCATGGAGCTGTTTCTCGGCTACCTAGCATCAGAGGCGGCAGAGGTTCGGTTGACTCCATGTGGCTCTGTGGATAGAGACCTGTAGCAAGGTCATGCAGAGGAGCAGGTTGTGGACTCTCTGGGGGGGGGGGGCGATGTGAAGCTATGTCTGACTTCTGAAACCTGTTGCTGCTTTGAGTGTCTTCCAGACTCACAGGAGAGCAAGAAAACCCAAGTGGCAGTCCCACAGGAGCAGCTGTTTTTACTGACTACCTGTGGCACATCCATGGTTCACCTTGGCTAAGGGAAGAGCATCCACCTCCGGGGGCTGTCGCAACTTCTGACTTCAATGAGAGAGGGGGAAAAAAAAAACCTGCTTGTGTCTCCTTAGAGAAAAAGAAGCTTTAGCAATGAGAAGAAAAGCAAGCAGCCTGGACTAGCAGAGGGCCAGAATACAAGCATCATTCATGTCATGAATCTTCATGGAAGCACCCACCCTTTGATCTCAGAACTTAAAACTGTGCTTACAAAGATCCTTGGCCAGGCTGTGGTCTGCCACATGTACCCTGTCACATACACCCCTATACCTGTATCTTCCCACAAGCGTGTGGGGTTGAAGTGAGCTCTGCACAGGACAGGGCAGCCTCTGGAAATCCCAGTGGTTACTTCTACATATGCAACCATTTCCTCCATATTCTACTTCCCAACTCTCTATAATTCTTCATACCCTACCTAAGCATCTTTTTCCTCTGATGCACACACACACACACCTGCCTCCCCAATTCCAATCCCTCCTCCTCTAGCTATGGGGTCTTGTTATAATCCATGTTGCAAGTAGACTCTGAGCCTCTCAAGGCTACAGCCAGGACCTCTTTGAACCTGGATATTTTGCCTCCCATGAGTTTCTGCACATACTACACCCTGGATAAATGGCCACGATTTACTGCATTGTTGGAATCAAATGAGATGACAGATATGGAACATTTGGTCACCTGAAAACAATCACATAAGCTACATGTGCCACATGGTTATGCCTAAAATGAAAAGGTGAACTTTGCCCAGAATCTATTTGAAAAAAAAAAAAAGCTCTTGTACAGAAAATGTCACAGAATTTAAAATGCTATTTATTACCCTTCCTAGCAGCTGGTTTTCTTTATAAAGGAACCACTATTTAACTTTTATTTTATCTGTGTTAGAGATGTCAACTTGTTTTAATTTATATTTCCACCTTACTTCAAAAATACGTAAGACCATTTTTAAGAATTTAACCATTTTTATGTGTTTCAGCATTCCCCAAACTTTCCAAAGAGATAAAATATCACCCCATCACCTGAATTTTAGAAATTTAAGAATCCTTTTGTTCTCTCCTGCTAAAATGTTGAGAGATAACTACACAAGAAATGGAAGCCAAGCTGTGTCTACACTTGGCTCAGTCTTTAGAGATATTTTTAAGATGATAAAATCCCAAGACTTGAGAGAGCTGCAGGATTTCTTTTTTCCTTCTTTCCAATGTAACTTCTACAATTAAACGTCCTCTTTCTGTTTTACATTTTTATTTTAGTTTTTATGGACTTCTTGAGGACTGGTGGCCTGACCTAAATTGAGATACAAGTCATTGAACCCCTGAGTTCAATAACAAAGTGTTGATCATGAATGGAAGTGATCAAGGCCGATTTTGAAGATGTCTTCCTCCCACAGTGACCTGACCCCCGGTTGGGAGAAAAGTAAGGAGCTGCTAGACATTTGCTCCAGGGACATTTTTCCTTCTCTCACTTTAACAGCATTGGCAGCTTTTGTCTTTTATTTGATGACACAGAAAAACCAGTTTGGACTTTGTTGGGAATTTTTTTTTTTTTTTAAGAAAAGCTGACCCTTGGGAAGGCTCTCCTTGAACAACTTGGCCCTCCTGTTTTCCTTTTGACTCTTTTGAGCAATTTGGGGTTCTTGTGAACCTGTGGGACAGTTGTCATTTGGTTACTGCTTTTGTCTGTCGGGGTTCTTCCACTGAACAGTACTGGAGTGATATTAAACACTAGAGAAACACAGCGGTTTCACAGATAACTCTGAAACTCACAAAAGGCCCGGGAATCTGACTATAACCCAAAGTCAGGGAATATAGAAATAAAAGGCAGGGCTCTGCTATTCCTAAAGTCAGAATCTTAGGGAGACGTCTTTAGAGGTCTCCTCTGTCTCGAATTTGCCTTTTCCCTACTGCCCTACTGTGACCCTTGTAGACAGGTACCTTCGGCTCTCAGAGGAAATACGACTTGATTTTCTAGAACGGCTTTAAAGTGTCTTAGAGAGTGTCTTAACCCACAATCTAACAATAATGCCGTCTGTAGCACTGGCCTTGTCGATTTAGAAGCTGTTTTGAACAAATCTGAATTTCTCTTGAACTGTTTGGGGCATCCACTATGTGACGGGAAAGGTTTTGCCTCTCTCGAGCCGCAGGGGATCTGTGGAGCCATTTGGAATAGAGGTAGGGGTGTTGGGGAAGTCTACTGTGATTATGTAACCATGAAAGCATTAAGTCTTTGCTAGTTTGGAGCCTCCAATGGAGAACTACAGCCAGGCAGGTTTAGGTAAATTTAGGATGATTTCTAAGACAGTAATGGGGTAAAAAAACAACCTCTGCTCCTGGAGCCCCAGGAGAGAAAACTCTGCCCCTGGAGCGCCAGTTAAGTGTTACAATTCTTTATAAAAATTTATTGCACATGACAGTCATGATTTCCATGCCTTTATAAAGACCTTTGACCTGAATGAATGTGTTTGAAGTCATTTTGGATTATATAAAAGCAATTGCTTCTTTGCCTATTTTTTTATAGCTAAAATTCATGATTTCAGAAATTTAAGAAAAACAATCTGGTTACTGAACTTTACCTCTGGCAGGCTTATCAAAACTTAATTGAAATGCTAAATTTAAGTTTACTCCTTAAAATGATTCAGGTCAGGTGCTTTAAAATGTTAAATAATTAACAGGAGTAGACAGAAAGTCTGATAACAGAATTTGGAGAGATCACCTAAAGAGAGCTAAACATCTTATTAAGTGCTCAAGAGATATCGGGACTGCTTTGGCTAGACTTAAAGTATACAGTTAAAAGATTACTTCCAGGGTTGACTTCTTTGCAGAGAAACTCTTGGCATGATCCACTTAAAATGTAGATGTATTGCCAATGTTGAGTTGAACTAATTTGATTTGAAATAGTTGCTAAGAAATATTGCATGAGGTTGTAAATAATACAATATATGATATGATAATATTAGTATCAAAATATATTGCTAGTGTTCCCCCTCTCTCTGGTTCTTACTCCAGTCTCCTTGATGTGGAAATTTGAAAATGGGGCTCAGAAAGAAGATTGAGGGCCATTAATATGAAAAGGGGTGTCCACAATCTACCTGCCTATCCTTTCTGCTACCTGCAGCCACTCCCAAAACAAAGCTTTACTGGAAGAGAGTAATTGGTAGAGGAGACAGTTTTATTCCTGTCCCAGCTTGGGAAATTGGAGTACAAACCATACACAGCCTCCAGTTTTGAATTGGGAGATAGTCTTAGAAACTTTCATAAGAAAAAACAATCCTATGCTTAGATGACTTTTTTTGTACCCCAGAGAGAAGTTCCTTGAGGCATAGCAATTTGCTCTGCTCCTCCGGGAAATCTTTTCAGATCCAGCCGAACTTGCATCTCTATTAATAGAGGAAGGGAGGCCCTCTCCTGAAGTTGAGCACCAGGTGAGGAGAGGTGAGCTTGCCAGTCAATC